CTTCTTGTTTTTATTTTTAATTTAATATTCGTTGTACACGTTTAAATAAAACTCAATTATTTATAAAATGTAATTTATTTACGAATGGCTCGCGCTACAAACTCTCTATTTAACAGTCGTTATGGGTCCAAAAATGGCTCGTTCGTGAGTATTGGAAGTATTTCGAAAACGAAAAAATTTTTGTGTATAAACGTAAATCAGTGCAAAAATGTCCGATTCGAACATGTCAAGCACATCCGAGACGAACTCGTTGAGTACATCAAGCACATCAACATTCATTCCGATCACTAAGTTACGAGGCCGAGAGAATTATGCGACGTGGAAAATCGATTATACGATGGATTACCGACGTATAACGTTCTTGTCTTTTTAGCATATAATCGATAACGTAGATAACGTTATCGATTATATGCTAAAAAGACAAGAACAATTTTTAGAAGCAAAGACGTCATCTTCTATGAAGATACTCGAGAAAACAGGACAGTTGAAGGCGAAAAAAACAAGTTAATGATTCTCTATGCTTTTAGCGGAAGACTCTGAAGATAAAGATCTAAATATTGGAGATAGGGCACGAGTCTAGGAAGTTGAAAGCACAAGAGATATAACAGATATAGCAAATTTCAACAGGGGCTGAAATAAGAGACAACGGTTCAGTGGACGGCCTAATAAAGAAAGAGTATGTGATGATCCAGTTAATGTAGCAAACGACAAACAAGCTGCTCTGCGACGTACAGTCCTCCAAAGTCAAGGAAATGATTTGATTCCATCACTTTCAAGGTGACGCATGAACCATAAAAAGAAGAGCCTTCATGTATAAAAGAAACATTTACAGGCCCGTACCGTGAAGAATGATATAAAGCCATGCACGAAAAACTCGATGCACTAACAAGAAATAAAACTTTTATGTTCTCCGCCAACAAGCAAGAAAATTTTGAAAACACGTTGGATCTTCAAGATAAAGATAAATAACGCTGAATCAGAGGGACTACATCGAAGAAATTTTAAGGAACATGGAAGACTGCAAACCTGTGAAAACTGGACATCTTTTAATGGAATTCCTTAGTAAGAATGTGGAATCGAGTGAAAAAATCGAATGCGATTGAAAACTTTCTGTATAAAGAAGCATTAGGAAATCTAATGTACACGTATCAAATCACGCCATCAGATTTAAGTTTCTGCAATATCGATATTAGGTTCGTTTGCAAAAAAATCTGAGAAAGCGTATTGGAATGCGATCAAACGTGTATTATGATATCTTAAGGGAACAATAAACCTAAAATTAAAATTGATTATTGTTTATTTTTGCATTGAAAATTCATTTTTATGTAAAAATGAAAATAAAAGAAATTATCTCCAGTGTGACCTTGATCTTAACAAATGTTATTCAGAACATGAATATCCTGAACAAGAAGTTTTAGCCGTTGGTCGGATACCTCGCGTAATGCTAATGCCAGCGGTATTATAAATTTTAAGCCTTATAACTCGAAAAGTACTTTATGAGAAATAACTTTATTTATATTAGGTGTACAATTTTGCTTCCGCCGTTTTCCTATAGATGGCTTTAGCGGTAAGTAGTGGTCGAAATAAATAGATCATAGACGTCATACAATAAACTTGAGCATCTGTCAACATAACCCCATAGAAATATTAGTCGATTTGTGTCTGCATAAAGTGTCTCATAAAGTTATTCTCGATTGAAAATGTCAGTTTACGAGCCAAATTCTCGTCATTTGCGGGAGGTTTTAATTTTTTGCTTCAATATGAAGAAATCTGCGGCTGAGGCTCATCGAATGCTCTCAAATACTTATGGTGAGGCCGTTATTAGTGAAAGAACGTGTCGGGAGTGGTTTCAACGCTTCAAGAACGGTGATTTTGACGTCCAAAGTCATGCTCTGTATTTGGTGGGACCATCTCGGCGTAGTGTATTATGAACTGTTAAAACCGACTGAAACAATCATAGACGATCGGTATCGAACGCAATTGATGCGTTTGAGCCGAGCATTGAAAGACAAACGGCCACAATACAACGAGAGACACGATAAAGTGATTTTACAGCATGACAATGCTCGACCCCATGTTGCGAAAGTGGTCAAGACATACTTGGAAACGTTGAAATGGGAAGTCCTACCCCACCCGCCGTATTCTCCAGACGTTGTTCCCTCTGACTATCACTTGTTTCGATCAATGGCACACGGCCTGGCTGATCAGCACTTCCGGTCTTATGAAGAAGTAAAAAATTGGATCGATTCGTGGATAGCCTCAAAAGATGATCAGTTTTTTCGACGCGGGATTCGTACGCTACCCGAAAGATGGGAGAAAGTAGTGGCCAGCGATGGATAATACTTTGAATCATAAATGTATAATCAGTTTTTTACAATAAAACCTCGAATTTCGGAAAAAAACGGCGGAAGCAAAGTTGTACACTTAATAGTGTTTTGAAAAGCTCTTGACATCAGCTATTAGACTCTGGAATCAAAAGTAGGATGTTCCATTTAAAAAAAATCGATGTAACCTAGATCTTGGTGACGCTCTATCAAACTAATAAGATCAGTAAACAGATCTTTTTGAACAATATAACTTTTATCTGAAACACTTTTCTGTAAAACTTTTCCGAGATATTCAAGTTGTTCAGAATTACTTTAGATTATTTATGTGTGAGATCATGCGACACATTGTATATTATTTCGACTTTCGAACAATTTTGATGTCGGAATCCGTATTTGTGTATTTCCACGTGCAAATGTCAAAAAATATGAAAAACTGTAACGAATTATTGTTGCCTTGATCTGCATGCACTTGTTTCTATGCTGATCGCGACGACTGATTTTCAATAATGCCAAATAGCGTTATCGAAAATCGATGTGGATTCGCTAGCCCCCCAATTCGCCTGCGTGATCACACATTTAGTTCGAGCGCGGAGAGCAACGAGTAAGGACGCGCATTGTACCGTCACGAACTGGCTAATAAATAAATATCTTTGTCACTGTGTGTCGGGAGATCGAAGATTCTCGAACCGGTAATATCAACCTTTTTGGGATGCATATACATATACATAGTATAATTCACATAGAATTATTTAAACATTATTTAAATAGAAATTATTTAAACATTAAAGATCTAGCTTCGCTCGTTATAGATATTTAAGTTCTAGTATTGATTTTAAGTTTTAAATAAGAGTACTCTTAGTGTTCTCTTTTTTTAAAAAAAGGCAAAAGACCCCACACGTTTCTTATGGATTTTGATTCTCGATTAAATCTTTTCATATTTTGGGAAATTGCAGTTCCAGGTGTCCTGATTAAAAGTATAAATAATAGTCGCGATTAATAGTAATAGTCACGATCTCCTAAAATTAACAGTTTTTGAAATTTAACTATTCAAATTTGGTTAATTTCTATTTGGATATTGGGCGATATAAACAATCTTGGTTAGACACACACATGATTCTATAGATTTGAAAAAATATCTAAATGAATCTTTTAACATACGAAATAAGGCTGTCATAGTTGCATTTCGCTTCGCGATCTCAATTGCAAATTAATTATTAAATTAATTATTAAAACTAAACAATGAGTAATGTCATGAATAAAGTTAGTGTGTATACATTTTCTGGCTTTTAGCATTATCCAAGTTGAGTAGCAGTGGGAGGAATGTGCTACTGTTGAACTCGGATTGATACATTGAAAATGGTCATTGGAAAAATCCGGGCTCTACTGATGATAGTGCTTATCATTATTTTACTTATTTTTATCATAATTTCCTTATTATCATTTTTAGCCACAATTGAGATCGCGAAGCAAAATGCAATTATGGCAGTCTTATTTCGCATGTTATAAGATTCATTTAGGTATTTTTTTCAAATCCGTGGATCATATGAGATTGAGATTGTTTATATCGTCCAATATTCAAAATAGAAATTAACTAAGTTTGAACAGTTATATCTCGAAAACTGTTAATTTTAGGAGATCGCGTCCATTGATACTTTTAATCAGGACACCTGGAACTACAATTTCCCAAAATATGAGAACATTTGACTGAGAATCAAAACCCAAAAAAAACATGTCCTTTGTAGTGTCAACTTAACCTCTTTTCTTTAAACAGATAGAATATTTTTTCTGTTCCAATCTGAGATAGTAATGATAAATGAACAAAGGCCAGTTTTGTAGAAATACTCATAGAGACTTCTGTAGAAATACTATTTTTATCACGCACGCATGCACGCACGCACGCACGCACGCACGCACGCACGCACAATACACATCATACCATCAGCGGCTATAAATGTGTACGTGCGTGCGTGCGTGCGTGCGTGCGTGCGTGCGTGCGTGCGTGCGTGCGTGCGTGCGTGCGTGCGTGCGTGCGTGCGTGCGTGTGTGCGTGTATTTTAAATTCAAATAAATTAAAATGAATTTCAATAAATTACCTTTTTTAAATTTTTTGGAATCTCATTTTAAAGAGTGAAAAATGTGCCAGTCTTGAAAAAGATTTGAGATTTTAATTTTTAGAGAGAGATTCATTTTAAAGAATAGTTTCAAATTAAAAATCAAATAAATTTGTTTATGTATTTTCGACATAGAATATAAAAAAATTAAAATTGTCGGTTGTCTTTTTAAAGAGTTTTAAATAGAATAATGACATAGTATCTCATTTTTTTTATTTGTATATAAAAATATTTAATTAATTTCTTCAAAAATATATGTAACAAATTTTCAATTTTTTAATTTTCTTCATGTTCATAATATTTGATAATTTTCTTCAATTTCAAACAAGTAATTACAAACATATTTAAAAGATATTTTAAAGATAATTTATAGCTTTCATTCTTATTTTAATTATAGAACTCTATCAACTGTAGATTTAAGTTTATTGTATCTGATTTCCAGTTTAGGAAGGTGAAAAATTATATGAATGATTATGTAAAAGTATTAAGATGAAATATATATTCATTTGTGTTTTTTCTGACAGTTTAAATGTGTGTTTTTTTTAACAAATTATATACTCACCCTTTTCGCTGTTTTCGGAAACTTCCGTCAGGTAATTGGCAACGCTTGTTTGCCATGAAATGACTTCCCTGAGCAAATATAAGATCCTCCAAATCTATCAAATTTCTTGTACCTTGAACCTGTCCTCCAGGTCCTCCAGTATCCTCATTCTCTTCCCGTCTTTTGCGCTGGGATCTCGCTTCCATTGTCTCATCAGCATCGTCTTCACCTTTACCTGTATCTAATTGCCGCAAGATTTTGGCAAGCACCGGGTCATCATTCATTTTGTTTCGGATTTTTTGTCTTTCTGATTCGGACTGCGATGAGGCCAACATCGTACAGTATGCAACTGTAAATTTTATTAAGTTTATTTAAAAATATTTTTCTCTTAAAATAATATATGAATAAAAAACTACAAATATATAAATATTAATTTGATAATATATGCAATTCTTACCTGTATGTCTGTATTTTTTAAGCTGTTTAATGAAATCAAAACAATCGTAGCCTAATAAAAGCACAAGTTGATTTTCGCATTCACGATCGTCTGCGGCATCTTTCAAGACAGCTAGTACTTCAGCAGCTCTCGCTTGCGATACCATGGCATCATCATATATCCTACTTAATCTTCTTTGCAACCAATATGCATCAATGTCTAATGGATGTAATGGTTTTTCCTTCTTCATTTCTTCTGTTCCACCCAGCTAAAAAAAAATATAATAGCTCATCATATAAATACTTCAAATAAATTTTGCTAATAATAATTGAGTTTCACTTATTATCAGAGCTGGCATATTTCAAATACTTGTATTTCAACAAATTGTATTTCAAATATCATATTTCAAATATAATAATACAAAATACAAAATACAAAGTACTTTTAAAATTTGTATTCAAATACAAACTATTTCAAAATTTTTTTATTTTAAATACAAAATATTTTCTTTGAGTATTTCAAATGCAAAATAAAAATTTCAAAATTTGTATTTCAAGCACAAAATATTTTTTTTAAATACAAAATACAAAATGTATTAACAGATCTACTGGTTGCGTTCGGAAACGTTAGGGCAGAGAAAACGAAACGTAACGAAATGTAACTCGTATTGACGTAAAATAAGACAGAGAAAAACATTGATATCGCAATCATGACTAGTCGAGAAAATGCCGGATATACAAAAAAACTTTGAAAGTATACTGTAAAAAGTATTTTGTATTTAAAATAAAAAAAATTAGAAATATTTTATATTTAAAAAAATATATTTTGTGCTTGAAAACAAATTTTAAACGTATTTTGTATTTTATATTTCAAAATACTTTGATGATGTATTTTGCGCAATCCTGCTTATTATTAACCTCCGTTTAAAATTCTTGAATAGTGATTGCGGTCACACTGAATCATGGTGTCATAAGCAAGAAATGGAACATTAATTTTTGCTATATGTCATTTGTAATAAACATAATTTGGATAAAACGAAATAATGAAATCGTTTTGAAATACCCGAAAATAAGTCGTAGCTATTCTTAACTTTCCTAACAATCAATAAATAGGCATAAAAAATTATAAAAAACACGTGAAATATATTTCATTTAATGCGTATGCGTAGTCTATTTTCATGCCTTTTATTACTATTTACTTCCTCGAATGGAAGGGAGGGAGGGGAGGATAACTTTGACCTATTTTATAAATGTTTTAGAGCAATCTCATCATTTCGTCTTTTATCTATGAATAATATATTAGGTGTACAACTTTGCTTCCGCCGTTTTCCTATAGATGGCTTTAGCGGTAAGTGATAGTCGAAATAAATAGATCATAGACGTCATACAATAAACTTGGGCATCTGTCAACCCCATAGAAACATTCAACAACAGTCGATTTGTGTCTGCATCATAAAGTTATTCTCGATTGAAAATGTCAGTTTATGAGCCAAATTCTCGTCATTTGCGGGAGGTTTTAATTTTTTGCTTCAATATGAAGAAATCTGCGGCTGAGGCTCATCGAATACTCTCAAATACTTATGGTGAGGCCGCTATTAGTAAAGAACGTGTCGTGAGGGGTTTCAACGCTTCAAGAACGGTGATTTTGAAGGACCTTTCCAAGATCATGCTCTGTATTTGGTGGGACCAGCTCGGCGTAGTGTATTATGAACTGTTAAAACCGACTGAAATCACAGGCGATCGGTATCGAACGCCATTGATGCGTTTGAGCCGAGCATTGAAAGACAAACGGCCGCAATACAACGAGAGACACGATAAAGTGATTTTGCTGCATGACAATGCTCGCCCCCATGTTGCGAAAGTGGTCAAGACATACTTGGAAACGTTGAAATGAGAAGTCCTACCCCATAGCCGCCGTATTCTCCAGACGTTGCTCCCTCTGACTATCACTTGTTTCGATCAATGTACACGGCCTGGCTGACCAGCACTTCCGATCTTATGAAGAAGTAAAAAATTGGATCGATTCGTGGATAGCCTCAAAAGATGACCAGTTTTTTCGACGCGGGATTCGTACGCTACCCGAAAGGGAGAAAGTAGTGGCCAGCGATGGACAATACTTTGAATCATAAATGTATAACCAGTTTTTTACAATAAAGCCTCGAATTTCGGAAAAAAATGGAAGCAAAGTTGTACACCTAACAAAAATTAATCTTTCATTTCATACATAAAATCTTCAAAAAGTCGAAAAACGTTAAGATATTATAGAAATGATCGACTAACACGAAAAATCATTTAAAGAAGTAGATTACATAAAATATACTTGTAGATTACATAAAATATACTTAATAATGATAAGAGTTCGATTTTGGGAGTTTGCAAGTTTAAGTTAAATTTTTTATACTCAACATGATTTGGCCTTAAGAAAAATCTCCCTTGAAATCAAAATCGAATTTTTTTTTCTTTCAGAGATTGTTGAAACTCTGAGAAATAAAAAAAATGTTTTAAATAAAAGTTGAATGGTTTCAAGAATAATTTATAATTATAGTAAACAAATTTTTTTTAATTTTCTTTTATAAAAAATTATTTATACAAATTTTTTATAATGTACAATTATTAGTATATTATTTTCTATATTTTCTTATTATAAAATTTTTTTTCTATATTTCATAGTTTCGACGATATTTTATTTAAAAAAAAAATTTTTTTAAGAGAAATTTTTGACATGCAACTCAGCATATAGTATATAAAAATTTTTATTTTTATCTATATCTTAACTTAATATATTGCTCATTTGAACAATGACGTAACTCCAAAAACTCAGAAAATTTTCAGAAAATAAGTTCGAATGTTTTAATCATTAAAATTTTGCAAATCATTTTTTAATGTGCTTGTGTGCGTGCGTGCATACGTGGATATAAATTTATTCATAACAATTGATTATACAGGAATAAAAGTATCATTAATCTTTATTCAGAATAATAAATCCTCATTATCTAAGAATAAACCGTTAAAAATATTTTTTTTGATTTATAATACTCGTGCTGCAAAATTTTGTTTTCAATTAAGAATTATTTAGTAATACGACGTTCTTGTAAAAAAAAAGTTGAATAATCAACTATTTTGTTAAATTATTTGAGGTTGTGTCATTATTGTAAATTTTTAACATTGAAAAAAATAGAAAAATACATTTTAATTGAAGTAAAACAATGAATATAGGAAAAATATCAAAATAAATTATTGCAAAAAATTTTATCATAGTACATTTATATGAAAAATAAATTGCACTCTAAGATAAATCAAAAATATACAAATTGATATCTTGAGCCGAACACACGATGTTGATATGAAAAATAATTCATTTATTTATTGGGTTGTCCGGAAAGTTCGTGCCGATTTTGAAGGAAAATTGAAATTTTTTTTCGCAGAAGATTTAAATTTTTAATTTCATTTATTAAATTTAAATCTTTTGCGGCACGAACTTTCCGGACAACCCAATATTTGACAGCCAATATTTGTTAGCCATACGTTTCCAAGTTTCGGATCCTTTCCAGTATCAATACAGTAATGGTGTCAATCGAATGCATTGTTTCAATGAACTTGATCGGTTTAGTCCTTATTGAGGTCCCATAATCGCGATCTGGAAAATTCCGACGATTCGCGTAAAGATACACGGTCAGTCTCGCGCTGACATGTCGCTGCGCTCGTCTTAGCGCGAGATACTACCGTGTCTCTTAATGTTTTATAATTCTTATTATTTGAGCTGATGCATAAAAAATTTTCAATTTTTATATTTTTGTATGTATACTATCAGAGTTAGACATAATTAATTTGTAAATGTAATTAATTACAATTGTAATTGCAATTACAATATAGTTACAATTACGCTGCAATTGCAATTATACTGTAAATGCAATTAAAATAATTGCAATTAAAGTAATGATTGAGTCGCAATTATATTTAATTCAGTTACAGTTTATAATTGTAATTGCATTTACAATTACTTTTACAATTATGTTAGGTAAAATTATAAGTGTTGAATATAAAATTGGATATAGATCACACAATTTAAATGTAATTGATTTAATAATTTAATAAAAATAATTCAACAGTCATATAATTGTACTTACAATAGAATCATAATTACGAATCATAATTACTTATAATTATTTACAAGGTTGACAAGTAATACGTTACTTGTAACGCCATTACTTTACTGATCGTTACTTTGTTATAATAATATTGATTTGATAATGACAATAATGTGAAGTTTTTATGACAACATGATAACATAAGAATTAGAAAAATTAAACGTTACTTGTAACAAGTTGAAAAAGTTACGGAAAAGATCTTAAAAATAGAATACATTTATACAATATTCTATAAAGTATTAAGAGTGTACATCTAGATGTGGTGAAGAAATTTTTTTTTTACATATTTTTCAAGTGTAATATCTTAAGAACGTTTTTGTAGAGTTATAAATTAATCCGGCAAAAAATAGAGTTACACAAATTATAAACTAATAGATTCGAGCGCGTCGAAAACGATAAGCGCGCCTGCGACAGAAAAGTTCAAGTTAGCGAAGATCAAAAAAGGATCTTTTTAGTTTATTTTTGTAGCCAAAAACGAGCAAATTTTTTTATAAAAAATCATGTTAACTTTGACCAACTGTCATTTTATTCAAATACAATATTTTAAAAAACCGCTCTGTCAAGCACAAGATCTATGTTTCAATTTTAAAACTTGTGCCATTTTACTTTCATACGAGTCTTGTGCAAGCAGCAATATCACCGCAAATCCCATTTTGTAAAACACGAGATACAAAAATTTGAACAGCGACTTCATTTTATATTATTTTTTAATAAAATTTTAATGTAAATAGAGAAAAGTATGATCTTTATAATGGAACGAACTCGACTTCTCTATCTCTTGAGATGCTTACATCTGTGTACGACGACGTGTATGAGGCATATCTGAGTGATACGTCATCGTACACGGACGTGTGTTCTAAAAATGTGATCTTTATATTTAATTTTAATATTTCTATTTTTTAAGTTTTAATATATTCAAAGCTTCAGTGCAATGCTTCATGTTCCATGATGATTAACAACGCTGCATCTTTATTAATTTGCAAGTGACTTAAGCATTATGGACATGTAAGCTAATTATACTTGTATCATTCTTGTTGAGGAGGACTCCAAAGAGAGTTGAAATGTTCAAAATAAAAAAGACATCAATCCAATATCTGATTATTGATTGTTCACTAAATAATTGCACCATTTATTGTTGCTGACTCTCATTAGTCTACTATATTTATCTTTTTGTTTTGTTTAAAATTCGAGAGTTCTAATATAATTATTGTTATTGCTTATTGCGAAAAATATTGCCTCGGTCGAGAATCCTCGCATGAAATGCAAGAAATCCGGGTTCGACTTCCAGCCGAGGCAATATTTTTCGCAATAAATTTATTACAATTTTTTAAGATTAAATTTGGGAAATTTGGGGGGATTATTAATATTTCAGATTGATTGCGTTGAAAGTCCGACAACCACCATATGCATGCAATTATAATTTCTGAAATTAATTCAAATTAATTTAAATTTATTTAAAAAATTAATTTAAATGAATATATTAGTTCAACATCTTTACATTCAAACCATAGTGGCGCTTCGTATTTAAACTATTTTTTATGTATAATATTTAGACGATATTGCTCAATTAATAACGCACATATCAGTGATCTCTGCTATGTATTTAACAATTATCATCCACGACTAAAATTTACGGTGGAGCAGGGGTGAATTGAATTTTTTAGATGTGACATTGTTAAAATTCAATACTTCTACCATATACGATTGGTACTTAAAATCCATATCATGCACAGAATACTATTTAAATTATTTCTCACAGCACCCGTTGTGTCAGAAGATTGGAGTCTTAATCAATCAGAATGTGGACTCAATCAATAAAGTATTTCTTTTGCAACATCTCTCTTTCAACGCTAAAAATTTTGATAAAATAATTAAAATATTATTAAATAGTTGGTATCCATTATAGTTGATTTTTTGCATCAGAAAAAAATTTAGCTTATGAAATAATTACTTTCAATAATAAAAACAATTTTAAAATGAAAAATAAAAAAAAATATTCTTTACAGTACTTTATGTTTCTAGTATTCCAGAGAAAATCAAAAATTTTTTAAAAAATAACACGATAATTAGCATTACAAAAATGTCAATAAATTGAGCAATTTCATCAAGATTCACAAAGATAGACTCTCGCTAATGTCGCATCAATGTGGTGTAAAATAAAATGTAAAGAATGTGATGCAACATACGTGAATCAGACGAACAGAACTTTGGAAGCGAGAATCAATAAACATAAAACTCGCATTAATTCGAAAACACAACGCTTAGTAATTATTGAACATTGGTTGAAATATTCGCATGATTTTGATTGGAGTAACATTAAAATTATAGATGAAGATAAAATTTTAAACAAAAAACTCATCTTAGAAATGATTTTTATTGGAAACAAACAGTTTAAATCTATCGCATGAGACTTATGACAATTTATTTATTAACAAGTAACGTTCTCTCTCTTTAATGTTTTCTTCTATTTATGTTTTTTTTCCACACTTGTTTTAGTTTGACTTGCGTCATTTTGTTAGATGACTAATATTCATAGTTAGCATCTCATAACTGTATGCTTTAACGAAGATCATGTATGTTTTAAGATTTAATTGTGTATTTATCTTTTTTTTTTTTAATTAATTGTTATATCGAGAAGTGTAATGATTTTATTGTAACGATACATTCAACTGACCATTATTGTATTAACACTAGAAAGACTCTTGCGAAGCTTGGATCAAAACATAGCCAAGAGTAGATGAATAAATTATTTTCCACACCAACATTTTGTGTTCAACTCAAAAAAGCATCAATTAATTTATTTTAAATTACACTTTGTTAGTAAACAATAAAAATACATAAAAGTAGTTTATATAATAATATACATACAAAAATATAAAAATTGAAACAGTTCGAATAATACAAGAAGAGAGATAGAGAGATACTATCGTGTCTTCTGATGTGTTATAAAACACATCAGAAGACACGATAGTATCTCGCGCTAAGACACGCGCAACTATATACCAACGCGAAATTGACCGTGTATCTTTACGCGAACCATCGAAATTTTCTAGACTATGATTATAGGACTCAATAAGGACTGAATCGATCAAATTCTAAGTAAATACGCTCAATCAGTAGCTTCTATCCAAAATATGTAATAAAAATGTCTTTATTTTTTTCTGCGTGCCCTATGACCGGAGATATTGTGATACAACGTTTTGATATGTTAAATTCTTCAAATAAAATAAGGAAATGAATCGCAAATTATAGTATGTAAAGGATAATTATGCAGAATAGAGCCACCTGAATCGCCTTGATCTTAACATATGTTGTGTGCATACAATGATCCTGAGTGATTTTCAGAAGGTTTTGGCTGGCGCTCTTTATATTCGTTAAAAAGGTATTATTAAAAAAAGTTCAAAAAATAAATGTGTGGAAAATTGTACATCCCAAGCAGGGGGAAGGATATTATTTAATATTGAATATGTATAGCAGAAATGTGACTGTGTATTTCTTAAATTATTTTGTTAATAACTTTTCAACGAGCGCCGGCTTTTGAGGTCACTTTTGAGGGTCATATATGTATCAAGGTCAAGGCGATTAGGCCGACTTCTCTTATATTGCATAATTAACGTATTATTTTATCAAGAAAGTTATAAATTGAAACAATATAAAAATTCAAAAAATAATGTTTTTTTTTTTACCTTTATCGCAATGTCATACTAATGGATATGACGTTCTCCACAAAAACTAAATGAGACCTTCCACTCTACAATTGCTCAGAAACAACCGAGATAAAACCACAGACTTCTATAAGTAGACTGCCGACTTTGCATCTATGTTTGAAGAGAGCGCTAGGGCCTGAGCAGCGTCATATTTGTATTAACTTTCAAATATAAATCACATGGATAATCACTGCTCAAGTAAATATTGAGAAATATTTTTAGTACCTATTGTATTTATAATAACGTAATATTTATGAAAGAAAAAGAACATTATTTCTTTTTATATTGACTTCGGCAGTTTATTATATCGCAAACAACCATTTTACATTATTGTTTTTCAGAATACAATTAAAAAGTTATCGTGAAGTGACATTTGATACTTATGATAATTTCTATTCTGACTAGTGTTTTCACATTCCATTCACGCGATACAGACAGGACGCATATGTATACATATGTGAAACAAGAATAGCTCCGAATCAGATTCATCTTTTTCAATCACATTGAGTCAGCAGTCTAGTTACAAAAGTTGTGGATGAAACACAAACAAGTTGTGGTTGAATCAAAACAATTGACAAAATGCGATAACGCAATTTTGACACAACTGCTCTCTTGTGATAAGTTTTAGTAACTCTGACATAATTAGTCAATTTATGTCAATTTACAAGAATTAAAAACATTAAAGTTATTTTATTTTTGGGTGTATTGTGCATTTCGTTTCAAGCATGATGAGCATAATGAATTATTTATCTTTGTTTAACATTTAGTGAACGACAAGAATCATGCGCATCATGTATGAAATGGAATGTACCCGTTGTAAACTAAAAAATGACAATTTCTGAGTAATTTGAGTTATGTCATTGTTTCGAGTTATGTTTTATAGAAAATGAATGATATATCCAAAGCTTATTAAATTGAAGATAAATTAGTTGCATATCTTTGTTAATCATATAATGTAAGAAATGTGTGGCATGATGAAGATCATAATTGAAGGAATATGATATGAATAGTAACTTGTTTTGAAAATCTGTATTTCAATAAGACTAATTGAGCAAAACCTTACGTTTTCTGCATGAATAGCTCTGTCATCATTAGCTTCTTCACCCTCATCACCTTCGTCTTCATTTTCTCGTACTTCTCCATATACATCTTCATCATCTTCCTCGCTACTCTCTTCAAACTGTACATTGATCCCATATGTTTCGTCAATATTTTCATCATTTGTTGTACTTTTTTCATCGCTACCAAAATCCGTGATCTTCTTACCAAGATTTACAAGCAATGCAAATCTTTCTTCTGCTAATAAACCAAGTAAAAGTTCAGTTTCTTTTTTTTTTTCTTTTTCTTTAAGTCGATCATTTTTTAATACAGCTAGTACTTCGTCAGCTGCACCGCAAAGAATATCACGTGGTTGGTCACCCAAAGCTTCTTGTATGAAACTGAGTAATACTTCATAAGTTTGACGTGTCTCTTGTGTTTTTGGACGATATACAATACCAACCATTTCATCTACACCTTCAGATAATAAAGTCGCTCCTTTCATACGAGTGAAGTCATATTGTGCTTCATCACGTTTTTGTCGTCTATAAAATGTCAAACATATTAACTTTGAATAATTTAAATATATAGAATAATTTAAATATATTATAAACTGTTTTTATAAACTGTATTAACAGATAGTTAATCTAATAGTTAATTGCATTATCGTAATATCGTTTTCTAAAATTACAAAAACGGAAACTATTTTAAAATTATTACTATTATTTTAAAAAAGTAATAAATTACACTGACAATATTCACAATAGTGGTGAATTGTCAATAATTTATTACATTTTAAAAAATAGTAATAATTTTAAAATAGTTTCCGTTTTTTTATAATTTTATAGAATTGAAGATGCAACCTAACTTACGTTTCAAGAGAACCTTCCATTTTCACATGCTGTAAACATCAGTTCATCCTTGTTATTTATCAAATAAACAAGGAATAAATAATATTTAATGCCCCATCTTAGATGAGGAATACGGACTCTTATATAATGCATAACACATAATGCAAGAAAATGTACCAATCAAAGTCCTTCGTTTCCTTCCTTTCCATGAAATAAAGAATCTGATTGATTGGATTTCTAATATCTTATGTGTTATGCGTTATGTAAGAGTCTGTGCTCCCTGCTTTAGGCAGCAGCACAGGCTATTGCATAACGCAGAACGCATAGTGCATAAGCGAATCAACCAATCCTTGCTTTCCTCTCATGTTACGAGAAAGAAATTTTGATTGGTTGATTCTGACTGGTAGATTCTCTAATGCATTTTGTACTGCGCGTTATAGAAAAGTCTTAGTTACGATCATTATAGTTATGCAATTTTGTCTGCGGTTGTGCTAATGCCTGCACATTGGACACGATGAGTGATGAACAATATCCAATGAGAGATCTTTGCTTTGCTTCGTCACGTGAGAAAAAGCAGAGTTTTCATTAGATATCGTTCATTATTCATCACTCATCACGTTCAGTGTGCAGTAGACAAAACAATGAAAATTCTCTAGACACCAGATTTACCAGTTAAAGGAGAGCACACTACTATTGATGTATTCTTCTACATCTGAAATCTGATTGGATGATTTAAAAAAAATAAATCAATGAGCGCTTTGTTAAGTCAACTGTTGAGTCTGCTGAATATAATCTATATGCAAGATCCGCGAACAATACAAGAAATAAGGAATTAGGAATAAAGAATAACGATTTTAACCTATCAGAAATCGAATACATCGGAATACACAGTTTCGGATAAGTTGAAATCATTATTCCTTATTCCTGCTATTGTGCGCTCGTAATATAAGAAATAAGGAATTAGAAATAAGGAATAATGATTTCAACTTATCAGAAACAGCGTATTCGGACAGATATATTGGATTATGTGTTCTTTAATTTAACACTTTTACAATGAATAAATCCGTTAATACGGATTCATTGTAGAAGTTTAGTGCAAAAGGGATATGTAAGTACAGATGCAAAGAAAATCACCATGCTTGAGATCATGTACTATATGCAAATTTTGGCTAACATTTCTGAAATCAATTGCGATAAATTATCAATTTTTCAAAAATATTGTAAAATTATTGTCACCAATTTACATAATAATGATATGTATATTATTTGTATAGAAGATTTGGTATAGTGACTAGTGCTAAGTTAAATTCGACTGCTTTCTTATTCCAGCCTCCTAAAAAAATATAATACCTAACTTTAATTTTTCTTTAAAAATATTTTCATTGAAATATAGATGACCATTTGTGTCACAAAATTTATTTAACCCTAGTATGTATCGTATGTATAAAAGATTTGATATCAATGACAAATGCCAAGTTAAATTCTAGTGCTTTCTTATGTCACTCTCCTAAAAAAAAGTAATACCTAGTAATTTTAATTTCATTGAATACATATGACCATCGACATGATATTTATATTCGCCGCAGCACAGACTCTTGGAAAACGCATAATTCATAGTGCATAAAGGAATCAACAAATTAAAATTCTTTTTTTCCATGGAATGGGAGAAACGAAAAGATTCTGATTAGTTAATTCGCTTATGCGTTATGCGTTATGCAAAAGTCTGTGCTGCAGTCTTATCATTTGTATAAAAGATTTGATATCAACAAGTTAAAGTCTATTGCAAGGTTAATTTATTACTTAATAACTTAATAAAGTTATTAATTAATAACTTTAATTTTTCTTTAAAAATATTTTCATTGAATGCAGACCATCATCATGATATTTGTTAAAGGAGATCGGATGCAAACAAAATTGCATGCTATTTGTTAATAAAATGCATAATGTCAAACTTAGTACAAACTTACTTTTTTTAAAAAAAAGTAAAAAAAGATGCAAAGAATATGCTTTTCGAATAGAATTTAAACCAATCAGCAGGCAATGTTTTTTAAATGTTTTAAAAAATTTTTTTTATTTTTCATTAATTTTACATTTTTTACGATTCATTTTCAAAATTCATTAATTTAACTTTTACTTATTGTTTATTAAACATTATTTTACATTATAATTTTTCATATGAATAAATGATTGAAAAAACATTTGTTTAAACGTTTATTTAACGTTTATTTTAAATTTATTTTTTATTGGGAGTACAAATTAGTTCGGTTCCGTTTTCCTAAAGATAGCTCCAGCTATCTATCTGTTGTGAATGGTTCATAGTGACAGCTGATTTTGACGGTTTCAGAGAGATTAAACATCTAATAATATTCAGTTTATATCACTTTGAGTTTCATATAAAAACCTTGATTTTTACTATGTTTGAAATATCGAATTTTGTGTTAACCAAGCAGCATTTATGGGAGGTTTTGATTTTCTGTTTTAATTGGAAGAAAAATGCAACTGAAGCCCATCGAATGCTTGTCGAAGTTTATGGTGACACTGTTCCAACTGATAAATCATGTAGGGAATGATTTCGACGTTTCAAAGATGAAGATTTCAGCGTTGAAGACAAGCCTCGCTCTGGACAGCCAAAAAAATTCGAAGACAAAGAATTAAAGGCATTACTCGAAGAAGATCAGAGTCAAACGCAAGAGGAGCTTGCAGAATCATTGGGGGTAACTCAACAAGCCATTTCTGTACGATTGAAAGCCATGAGAATGATTCAAAAACAAGGAAATTAGATGCCTTATAAACTGAAACCGAGAGACGTTGAAAAGTGATTTTTCACTTCATCAGTGAACAGCTAATTCAAAGATAACAGAGAAAAGATTTTTTGCATCGGATTTGTGACTGGAAATGAGAAGTGGATATTCTACGACAATCCCAAGAAGAAAAAATATTACGCTAAGCCCGGTCAATCGTTGCCATCGACCTCAACATCAACTCCACGGCCGAACATTCATGGTTCGAAGATCATGCTCTGTATCTGGTAGGACTAAAAGAGTCTTGTTTACTATGAACTGCTGAAACCTGGCGATTCCATTACGGGCGATCGGTATCGGTTACAATTGAGCCGTTGCGAGAAAAACGACAGAATACGAGCAAAAACATGATAAAGTTATTCTTCTTCATGACGCTCGGCTTCATGTCGCTAAAGTCGTAAAAAAATATTTGGAAACACTCAAATGGGATTTTACCGCACCCGCCATATTTTCCGGACATTGCTCCTTCTGATTACTAGTTGTTCCTCCGAAGGATACAGCACGATTTGGCAAGTCACCGGTTCACTTCTTTTGCAGAAATCGAAAATTGGCTCCAAAATTGGATCGCCTCCAAAGACGAGTTATTTTTTCAAGATGGAATTCGAAAATTGCCTGAGAAATGGGAAAAAATAGTAGGCAGCGATGGACAATACTTTAATTGATTTGTTATTCATTTTGTTTTGAAATAAATGCACAAAAAATGGACCGAACTAATTTGTACTCCCAATATTTGAAATTATGATTTGAAAAAATATTTTTTAAACATTTAACATATAAAGAAATGATGGTTTAAATCGAGCGAGAGATAAAGTTTATATAAAGTAATTTAATCGCATATAATGTTAACATGACAGAAAGTGAATATCAGAAAAACTTGATGTAAATCGTATGTTTCGGAATTCACACTTTTCCTTCTTCAGCGATTTATAAAATATGTTGCATAGTAATATAGAGGAATAATCTTACAGCGAGAATAGTGTGGTATTGTTTTGAAAAATTGATTCTATAATTTATCAACGATACGTAGATGACATCATTATGACTGCGCCAAGAGAATACATTGATTCTCATAATTTTTAACAGCTACCATAATAAGTTACAATTTACTTTGGAAATTGAAAATAATATATGCTTAAGCTTTTTAGATCTACTATTGAAGATTGAGAATAATAAAATTGTTGACTGATTCCATACAAAGACGTTCTCCAAGCAGATATCTTTCCTTTCTATCCAATCATTCCATCTTTCATAAAATTGATTCGATTTTCATTCTTATAGACAAAGCCATTCTTCTTTCTCACCCTAGATTCCATCAAAAAAACATTGAATTTGTTATAAACATTTTCCTAAACAATTGCTATCCTTTATCCCTAATTTTTAATTGCATAAATAAAAGGATTAAAAAAATTATACATGAGAAACACACAGAGCATTGACAATGTGATTTCGGATAATGCAAATGATTTAAAAAAAATATATTTTGTGATACCTTATATATCCAAGGTTTCATATTCCGTCACTGCATTTTTTAATAAATCAATCTTCACAATTGGCTACAGAATCTTAAACACGTTCCTCTTTCATTAAAGTACGCAAAAACAAATTAATAAATTCCATTATAAACAACTTAATAAATTCCAAAACCAGAATGTTGTTTGTCAAATCAATTGTCAAGATTGAGGCGTCGTATGTGGGACAAACGAAAAGACAACTTCCGTATAATTAAACATAGAAATAACATTAAACAGAGTTTCTTCAGATTCTCCGTCATCTCCGATCATAGAATTAAATTGCGATCATAATTTTGAGAGGGAATCTTAATTCTATTATAGCAATACATTCTAATAAATCTGCTTTTTTTGTGAATTGAATCCATCGTCTCGTGTATCTTAT